AATCACTGTAGCTTTGTAGTACGTTTTAAAGTCAGGAAGGGTGAGTCCTCCAATTCTGTCCTTTTTCAAGACTGTTTTGACTATTCTGGGTCTTTCATTTCCATCTAAGCACTGGTATTAGCTTGTCAATTTTCACAAAATAACCTGCTATGATTTTGATAGGAACTGTGTTGAATTTACAGATCACTTTGGGTTGTACTGCCGTCTTAACAATATCAAGACTTTCAATCCATGAACACAGTATATCCTTCCATTTATTTACGTCTTTTAACATTTCTTTCAATGATCTTTTGTGGTTTTCAGGGTGTCTTGTACTTATTTTGTTAAATTTATTCCTTAGTATTTTATTCTTTTTGATGCTATGGCAAATGAAATTGTTTTCCTAACTTTTATTTTCAGACTGTTCATTGCTAGTTTACAGAAATACAACCTTGTAAACTGATCTTATATCCTGCAAGCTTGCTGAACTTATTTATTAGCTCTAATAAATTCCTATGGATTCCTTACAATTATCTATATACAAGATCATGTTAGCTGTAAATAAAGTTAGTTTTACCTTCTTTTCCAATCTGGATGCTTTTCATTTCTTTGTTCTGCCTAATTTCCCTGGCAAGATTATGCAGTACAATGTTGAAGGGTGAGCAGACATCTGTCTTGTTCCTGATCTTAGGCAAAAGCTTTATCTTTCACCAATAACTATGCTGTTAGCTGTGTTTTTTGTAGATACCCTTTACCATGTTGAGGAAGTTTCCTTCTATTCCTAGTTCGTGAATTTTTTTTTTAATTATGAAAGGAGGTTGGATTTTGTCAAATGCTTTTCCTGCATCTATTAAGATGATCATGATCATGTGGTTTTTGTACATCATTCTAATAATGCAATATATTAAATTGATTTTTATATGATGAACTAGCCTTGCTTTCCTGGGATAAATCCCTCTTGTTCATCGAATATAATACTTTTTATATGTTGCTGGACTCGGTTTGTTAGTATTTTGTCCAGGGCTACATAAAGCTTTAAAATATTCAAAACAATACCATATGGGGTGGGTTACAGCTCAGTAGAAGAGCACATGCTTAGCATGTACGAGGTCCTGGATTCAATCCCCAGTACCTCCATTAAAAAAAAAAGTTAAATTATGTGTCATTATATATCATTTAGGGATGTATACATACGTATAAAGACAGATGGGAATGGAATACAACAAATAGGGATAATCTGGAGGACAGAGGATATTTCAGTTGGAAAAGGGTCCAGAAAAGGCTTTAACTGTATTTACAATATTTTATATCTTAAATGTAACTGCACTTGTAACATTCATGTTATTTCTAAACCCTGTTAATACATGAAACATTTTATTTATATTTTTTAAAAACATGGCTTGCATTTTCCCCAAAACCTTTAAGTAGCAAATAGGAAAGTAAGATTGCTGGCTGTGTCACATACAAATGCTTCTGTGAAACAAGACTGAAGACACCACCTACTGACACTATTACTGTCTATTACTCCTCCTCAACCTTCCAGAAAAACACACGGTTCAAGGTTAACTCCTAGGCAGCGTTAACCATATATACTTTTACATTTATTCCTCTATAGAAACATATCACATTATCTTATAATTAATCTATCTTTATATCTGTCCCACTTACTATACTGTGAATTCCCTAAAGGCTCAGAATCAGTCTTTTTCATATTTTCATTTCCAGCTCCAATCAAGTGCCTGGTAAACATGACATGCTCAACAAATGTTCACTGAATAAATTGAGTGAATAAATAAATATGGAAGTAGCCCTCAATAATTCAAATTCTTACTTAAAGATCACATTTATACACTGCTTTAAAAGCCAAAATTTCAATGTTACACTGGTAAACCAAGATTAAAAGTTTAGAGCAATCCAAAGCGATGGTGAGGGTAGAGATCTGGGTTCTTTTCGAGGCCTGGCTCTGCCAACTAGTGGTGTGATCTTATGCAAGTCATTTTACTTGCAAAGCCCTCCCTTTTCCCACCTATAAAGTGGGA